AAGTGCAGGAACTTCTGTCCCTGTGGAATTGGGTTGTGCCACCTTCCCAGTAGGTGGATGCACTCTCCCAAGCTGGATAAAACTCCTTCATTTAGGGATTTTTGTGATACTTCATCATGTAGGCAGTATCAATTATTCATTCAGTCCCCAGCCCCTCTCCCCTCAGCAGTAGATGAAGGGTGTGGCTGGAAGTTCCAAGTTTCCAATCACGGCTTTGGTCTTTCTGGTGATCAGGCCCTATCCAGAAACTAACCAGGAGCCCACCCAGAGTCATCTCATTAGAACAAAAAATGTTCTTCTCACCAAGGAAATTCCAAGGGGGTCTAGAAGCTCTGTGTAAGATGCTCCTATCATCCCCATCACTTGGGAAATCACAAAGGCTTCAGAGTGCCATGTCAGGAATTGAAGGTCAAACACTGAATATTAGAAAAAAATGTGCCCCAGCATCCCATCACTCAAGAAATTATAAAGGTTTTAGAAGCTCTGTGAGCAGAACTAGGAAAAAACACCAAATACATATATTTCTTACTATGTCACAGGTGGATACCCAACATTATACATTTGGCAAAACCCATAGGACTATACAATGCTGAACCCTAATGTAAGTTTTTTCATAATAATGTATCAACAGTGGTTCTCCATTGTGACAAACATATCACATTAATATAAGATCTTAATAACAGGAGAAACTCTGAGCAAGGGAGAAGGGGGTATATAGAAACTTCCTAGACCATCTGCTCAATCATGTATAAATCTAAACCCGCTCTAACAAAACAAAGTCTATTAATTTTTAATTTTTTATTAATTTTTTATTTTTTAAAATTTTAATAGATTTTATTTATTTATTTGAGAGAGAGAGCGCTTGCACGTGCCAGTGGGGAGAAGAGCAGAAGGTGAGGGAGAAGGAGGGGGAAAGAATCTTCAAGCAGACTCCATGCTTAGCGCGGAGCCCCACTTGGGGCTGGATCGCACCACCCTAAGATCATGAGCTGAGCCAAAACCAAGTTGGATGCTTAACCAACTGAGCCACCCAGGTTCCCCTTTTATTAATTTTTTTTTAAAAAAGGAAAGGTAAAGAAATTTAAAAAGTCAACGACATTGGTTGTCAAACTGGTCAATGAAAAATTTGATGAAACATTTAATGCAAGGAACTTAGGTATACAAAAAATCTAATTAAATCATCATTTAATAGTCCATGTTTGATCAGAACTGTCTACCTAGAGACCATACCAGAAGAAGCTATGGTCTCCATAAAATAAGAAAGACTGCACTGATGTCAACCATGGGCAGATATGGATATGAAAGATAATGCTACATACTTTTAAAAACAGGGACTCCCTGACGTCTTGTTTTATTTTCCCAAAACTCACTCTATCTGAACTTTGAAATTTCATCAAGGCTTTGTCTAGATAGCAAAAGCAGTCTAGGATGCCCATGAAGAAATAAAGGTAGAAGTAATTATGTCCATTTAAGTTATGTTAGCCAGAGTTTTTGCAGAGGAGACAGGCTGGCCTTTATTTTGTCATTTATCCCTTGTATGTATGTTTTTCATTTTATACTTCTGTGAAAGTTACTTCCTTGCATGATATCAGTTTCCAAATAGTGTTCAGAATCTTTCAGTCTGACCTCTCCATGACAAGCAGGAGGAGACAAGGGAGCAGACGCCATTCCAAAACCAAGTTCTATGTCTAAAATTCTTATCTTAAATTTTATAGAGCTACTATTATTCATACATCTGTGATAAGAAACTTACATATTAAATTATGTTTTGATCCTTAGGTGCAGAATAGTGACACTTTTAGATTTAGTTCAGTCTCTTCTTTCTATGAAACACATACTCAGAGAAAACACAGACTCTATCAAATGCCAGTTCTCAAGTCTTAGGATTTTGAATCCACTACTCTTTTATAAAAATATACAATCTTTATATGATGTATAGACCTTACAGGCATCTTATTCTGCTAGGTAAGGAATGAGTGTGCCCTGTACCAGCTGACTGTAACCGTACCTCTGGAGTCTGGCCTTCCCATCTGCAAAAGCCAGAACCTGGGATATACTATTCTGCTAGGTAAGGAATGAGTGTGCCCTGTACCAGCTGACTGTAACCGTACCTCTGGAGTCTGGCCTTCCCATCTGCAAAAGCCAGAACCTGGGATATACTATTTTAATAAATATGTTTTTAAATTACTATAAAAGTAACATACAATCATTGTAGAAAGTTTAGCAGAAGGAGAAGCAGGAGGAGGAGTGGGAGGAGTTGGAAGAAGGGTAGAGAGGGAGGAAGGAAGGGAAGAAAGGAGAAAAGAAGAAAAATCATTTACAACCTCATCACTCTGAGGTAAGGAAGGTACACATTTTAGAGCTTATCATGGATGATTTCTAATATTCCACACACCCTGTCACTTGCCTTTTTCTACTTAGCATCTCTCCGTGGGAAGCAGTGTAGCTAGAAATAGAAGGTAGCAGAAACTTGTACCTAGTGGACAAAGGCACGAGCTCTGGAACTAGACAGCCTGGTTCGCATCCTGGATCAGCTCTTTAGCTGGGCGACCTGGAGCAGACCACTCTGCCTCTCTGTTTCCTCAGCTTCCCATTTATAAAATGGTGATAATAGTAGTAATTATTTCTTCATAGGGTTCATTGTGAGGATTCAATGGCTTAATATTTCTAAACCACTACCCAGGACAAAAGTATACTCTATTATAAAAGGACAATAGTAAAGAACTAGAAAGTAACTATTTTAGGCTTTACTGGGGCATATGGTTTCTGTTGGAACTCCTCCATGCTGCCTTTGGAGCACAAAAGCAGCCATAAATGAGTGAGTATAGCTGGGTTCCAATTAAACTCAATGAACAAATGGGGCACCTGGGTGGCTCAGTAGGTTGGGCGTCTGCCTTAGGCTCCAGTCCTGATCTTGAGATCCTGCGATCAAGCCCTGCATTAGGCTCCTGCTCACAGGGGAGTCTTCTTCTCCCTCTCCCCGTGCTTGTCTCTCTCTTAAATAAATAAGATCTTAAAAAAAAATAAATAAACTCAGTGGACATTGAGTTTGAATTTCATATAATACTCACACATCATGACATATTATTCTTTTGATTTTTTTTGACGGATAAAAAATGTAAAAGTTGTATTAGCTCTTGGGCTATGCAAAAATGGATAGTGGGCTGGACCTTTAGACCATAGATCACCAGCCTCTGTTCTATATAATTAGTTGACATTATTATATTTCTAATATTTCTCCAAAAAACTTTTAAGTAGACTCCAATCTCAACACAGGGCTCTAACTCTTGATTGCAAAGTCAAGAATGGCAGGTTCTACTGATTGAGCCAAACAGCGGCCCCTCTACAGCTTTTTTTTTTTTTCTTTTCCTGCTTAGAACAAGGTTGTTTGAATGTTCTAGAACTTACTTATTCGCCTATGGTTAGAATTTAGGTTATTTCCAGTGTTCTTTATTATAAGCCGTTCTCCAATGCATATCCATGCAGAATCTTTGCGCATATATATTATTGTATCTACATCTTTAAATGTACTTAGCAGCAGCTACCAAATGGCTGGCAGAGTATCTAGAAACAGACTCTGAAGAAGTAGCCTTGAAAATGAACCTTGAGTAGTTATAACAAATTTCAAACACGTTAGAGAAGATTTATCAGTATAATATATATTCATATACATAGAACTCACTACGTACAACATCCCATTCTAAGCCTCTTGCATTGATTAAATCTAGTCCTCAAAGCACTCTAATGAGGCACAGGTGTAATCATCATCATCGTCATTACCATCCCCAAGGTACAAAAGAGGAAACAGAAGCACAGAAAAGCTAAGTAACTTTCCAAGGTCACACAGCTAGCTGGTGCCCAAGGCCGGTTTCAAACCCAGCCTGTCCGGCCTTAGGCCCCATGTTCTTGAACACGGTGTTGTCCTGCCTCTTTTTGGAGAGACTTGGCAAGTGTGCACTTGCGGGTACACACCTTGTAATGTACCTGTCGTCTCTTTCGTGTTGGGATCATGTTTGGCACGCACCATCAAACTCATACTCTAATAAGCGGCACAAATTGTATCCCACGATGGGACATTTCGAGTGTAAACTGAATGTCCATCTAATCTCCTTCCTCTTTTGTCCTCCAGCCCTTCCCCCCAGAGCCATCTCTTCATTAATTCGCCCTGCATTTCTTACCCCAAATAGGTGTCCTCTGTGAAAAGTAAAGATTGATTGGAGCACACTTTCGTATCTCGGTTTCCAACTTAGGGTCCCAAACCTACCAAATTCACTTGGCAATTTCGGGTGGAGCTTCGCTTAAAGTGAAGGGCCCTGAACCGCCATGCGAATGCAAATTTCGGAGAAGCGCCCTCCTTCTTTGAAAACGAACGGGGCTTGGGTCAAAAGTCCGTCCCGCGCGGCCCAGCCGCCACAGGGCGGGCTTCCTCCGACCCCTAGCCGGTTCCCGAGGGTGGTGTCCTGCGTCGGTGCGAGCCAGCCAGCCTCCGCGGCAAGGGCTCCGAAGCGGAGCTGCGCGCTCTCCCGGCCCTTCCTGCTGGTGCTGAGAGGCGAGCGGGTGTCCCAAAGAGGAGTTACGAGAGTGGGTCCTTCGACTTTGAGGGGAATGAAATTCTAGTTCTCATTCTTATCCTGCTTTCTTTCCCTGCCGGGGTCCTACCTCTGGAGTTAGCCCCATGGAGAGGAGCCACCAACGACGCGGGTCCTAGGATGTTGCCCGCCCCCCACCCATGCCCAAACAAGGACAGAATCGAGAAGTAGAGAGGAAACGGGGAAAGAAAAAAGCGGGTGTTTCAAACTGATCACCGCGGTGCAGACGCGGCGGTCGCGCCAGAGCAGCAGGGCCTCGAGGCGCGCCGAGGCCCGGGGCTCCGCCCGCCGGGGGGCGCCGGGGCGGCGGGCGCCTGCGCGGTGCGGCCCCAGCCCGGGCAGCCACTGTCGCGATGCCTATTTTAGTCAAAGCCGCTGCCGGCGCGGGGACCCGGCACGGGCCAAGGAGGCTCCGGACCCGCGATCCGGGGAGGCTTTCGCCTGGGGCGCCCGTCGAGCCGCCGCGTCGCTGTCCCCGCGCCCTGCCGCTGTCGCCCCAAACTTTGGCCAGCGCCTCCCGGGTTCGGTGCCAGGGACAAGCCAGGTAAGGAGCGGGAGGCGTAGCTGCCGGCGGCTCCCCCCGCGCGCCCGGCTATTTGCAGCCTCGGGCTCCCGGAGCTAAATCGGGAAGCGAAAGTTGGATCGCCGCTCCGCTGGGTGCAACTTTGTCAGCCCCGCCGCGGCTGCGGGTTCTTCGCGCCCCGGCGGCCGGAGTCCTGCCCTCTCCTCCCTGGCCGAGCCGTCGCCCTCGCAGGCTTCCCTGTTCTTGGAAGCCGCCTTCCTCCCGTGTCTGGGGTCCACGTCCTAGACCCTCAGGCGTCTGCAGCTGCAGCACCGGTCTGGGAGCGCCAGCGTCTTCGGGCGCTCCAGCCCCACTTGGGGGCTCGTTCCCGCGCTCTGCCTGGGGCAAGCCCTTGGTGGGCTCGGCATCTCCTCGTCTGGCTGGACGCCGGGGGCTCCTGGCCCCTAAACCGCTAAGGCTCCACCTCGCCCGCTGTAGGGCCGCCCGGGGCTCCTGCGGAGGCTGCGCGCAGCGCGGCGCACTGTGTGGCCTGCCCAGGGCGGGCGCTGGGATTGCCAGGAGCTGCACGGGGCTCACCGCAGACCCCTCATGGCCCGAGTCTTCCGGTCAAGGGCAACAATACTAGACACTGATCATCTTTTAAGGAGCGAGGTGAGCGGGTTCCCTGGGGAGAACGGATGGCTGGGGACCCCGTGAACCTCGCCGCCCGCCCGCGCCCTGGTTTCTGAGGCTTTGGGAAACGTGTTGTTGGCCAGACACGTCCCAGAAACTGCTTGCTTTGAAACAAGAATAAGTGCGAAAAGACTCTTGGCAACGTCATGCCCTTTGCCATTCCGCGGAGAAGCGAAGCTTTGGGCCGATTTACAGAATGAATCAAGTCTGCCAGCAGGACTTTTGCTCATTGCTGCCTTTTCATTTTTGTAATTTGGTAAAGGGTTAATGTTAGTTTCACCGTGTAGCTATTTAATCCTTCAGACACCTATTTGGAAACAAATAGATAAACGGGACTTTGCGAGACTAGGTAATTAAAAGAATTAGACTCTGAAGAACTAATGGAACGAAAATTTCTCTTGATTCAGTCAAAATTAACCTGAGCGTTAACCAGTTTTTTAGTCTAGCCTTCCTCCTTAGACTCACTGTCTGTATAAAGATAGTTCAGTGTAAACGACTTAAATCCATTGAAAGTGATCAAAGGGAGCTGAAACTTGTAAGATCCAGTCAGGATTATTGGCCATAGGTAACTGGCATTTCAAAATTGGCATGGAGATAATCCACATAGATAAATAATAGATATACAAATAAATAATAAATTATATAATAAATGTATTATACAGTGTTAGCTATTCTACAAGCTAAATGTATATAGAAAATAAAATAGATATGTATTTAAATACTTATACCCTTAATAAGGTGTGGTTCATCAAAATATGTTGTAGGATGATCCCACCTCTTAAAGATTCCTATTGCTATTTCCCTGGTTCTTGTGTCAGTAGATTGTGGTTTTCCCCTCATTTCTCTTAGAGCAGATGTTGGTACCTTTAGTGCCACTTGAAGAACCTTTAATAAAAAGCCTGATATTGAGCTAGAGTGGAATAGTTGGCAATACTGGTGCCATTGGGTGGAATATATATGAACTTATTATATATATATGTATTAGAGCCTCAAGCTATTAAAACTTGAAGGGGTTTCAAAGACCATCTAGTCCTACCACCTCTATTCCCAGGAAGAAGCAGACACAAGGAGTGGAAGTCACTTTCCTTGATTTGCGTGGCTCCCCCTGGGCTTTTGGTCTAGAAACTGACTTTCTTAGTCCCAGGAATGCTGGGCACTTTCCTGTCTTTACTACTAAAGTTTGGGGAGACTGAAAGTGACTTCTAAAAATGTTTGTCGTGTCTGTGTCCCTTCCGTATGGCTTTCAACTCTAGCATTCTCTGCAGAGTGTAGGCCTTGGGTATACATAGATGGCTATGACATTGCCTGTGCCTCATAGAGAACACAGGATAGTTAGAAAAGCAAATAGGACACATTCTAAAATGCCATAGAAATGTAGTTAGTTTAGGTAATGCTAATGCATAAGCTGACACGGACACTAGTTTATGAGTGAGAGAGGTCCTTGAATATCATTCTCCCTCCTGCAGAAATTATAGGATTAATTCTCATTTGGTCCTTGAGAGCAAACTTTGCATAAATGGAGTTATTCAAATAATGATACCTCTCACCCCAATAGGCTTATAGTTTTATTGATTTAAAAATTTGGAAAGTAGCTGAATTTATGTAGTTTCTTTCCTTGTTTCGGAAAATCAATATCTATGTCAACTATTTATCTTATATTTATGAACTATTTCAGAATTATATGAAGAGAACTTTAATTGCCTTGACCATCTCACTCACAGTTTGTAATGCATAAATGTTTTTATCATCTTAAGAGATGTAGAATTCTTTTGGATTTGTCTAATAATAATATCCTTTCAAAATGCCCAATCTGTACCAATTATTCTACCACTTAAAACCTTTACTTTGATATGGTGGGGGGGGGATGAATAGAAAAGTAAGTTAACTGTGTGATCTTATTATGGAAAGACATTATTAGATTAAATTTAAAGATATTTTTTGTCCCCATTTGGATTTCTTTTTCTGAAACAGAATAATTCATATAATCTGAAAACCTACATGGTTTTTGTCAGGGACCAATTTGTATAATTAATAATAGAAAGAGTTTTTTAAGTACCAGAGATGGAGGACAGGTAATTTAGTTAGGAAATGGTGCCACTTTGTGTTAAGGTTTAGGTAAGCATGTGCAAAATGTGTACTCTTTGAACTGTAGTTGCTACAGATTTTAATATGAAATAGTTGAACATATATTCATTACCTCTCCTACATATAAGTAAACCACAAGTTTACTACTTTGTAATTTGTAACATTGCTACCTAGTGGAGTTTTTATGGGAACGAAAGTATAGATTTAAATTAGACAATGAAAGGAAGAGTTAATTTTATATCTCCCTGTGTATATATAAATGATTAGTAATGTATTTATTATGTGTATATATGATAATATAGAATGTATATGTCTATGATGCAATGATCTAATGACAGTATATAACTAGAGCCTTCTAAATATACTAAACCTTCAAGTAGTAAATGTGAGGTTAATTTTTTTGACGTACTTAAATAATCAGTTTTTCTTATTTTTTCTGTGTTTGGATTCAGTGTCATAGTGGGAATGTGATGGAAGACTTTGTAATTGCTGTGGCTTATGAACATTGGTGGTTGTCTTTTAGACTCATTAATTTCTCATTCCTCTCTCCCCCACCATGTATGTCTATATAGATATATATATTAGTGAATAGTTGTATACTATGCTAAATATTTTATATATTTTATTTCATTTCATTTCATTAGAAAGTCAAATGAGGTATTACTATCATCATTTAACAGATAAAGTAGTAATACTTAATATGTGACTGGTTGGAGTCGAACCTGGTTCTAATTCTTAAGCACCAGAAAAGTCTGTCTACCAACATTTAGTTCACAGAAATCATTTTGATACAAAACATATCGGGATAGAAAGAGACAGCTGCCATTTTTATGATTGTCCTTTTGTGTCTTTGTTTTTACAGGGATTTTCAAGATGAATTATACCAAGTCCAGCCCATTGACAGAATCGATTGCAATAGGTTTTACACCTGAGTTAGAAAGGATCATACCTGTGCCTTCCAATGAGACCACATGCGAAAACTGGAGAGAGATACATCACCTCGTTTTTCATGTAGCAAATATTTTTTTCACGATTGGGTTGGTTATTCCAACCACCCTTCACCTTCATATGATACTCCTTAGGGGAATGTTATCTATAGGTAAGATTCCTAATCGAGACCTTTGTAACTTCTCTGGAACTGGCATTCGATGGGCTTTCTGTTGGGGGCTTCAGGGCATCTCTTGTCTGTAGCATACCAAAAATACAGGTCTCTGTCAGCAAGTTGGCAGCATGTCAATCAAGTAATCCATAACATAGGCCTTTACATGCCCTTATTTATTTTAGGTAAGACCGTGTGTGTTTTCTATATTGTTTAGATTTTCTAGATATCAAAAAATCCATTTGTATGTCTAAGTGTGTGATCCAAATCCTGGTTCTACCACTTGCCAACTGTGTAACTGGGGCAGATGATTGAAACTTTCTGCTCCTCAGTTTTCCCATGTGTCAAAGGAGCGCAAAAATAATACCACCTCTTGGGGTTGTTGTACGAATTAAGTGAGTGTGTGTGTGTGTGTGTGTGTGTGTGTGCGTGCGCATGCATGTGTACACATGCATATGTGCGATATTTGACTTCTAATAGCGCCTGGCACATGGTAAGCCCTATGCAGTCTTAACCACTGTTGTTTCAGTAGGTTTCTTATGGCCCATAATGTGACACTGGGAACAAAAGCAATTTCCCAGACACAGTAGTCAAGGAAAACTTTTTGAGGGCTCCAGTAATCCTGATGAAGCACATCAAATGGATTCACATCAAAATGCCAGAACAATTGAATGAATTATTTTAGCCAGTGATTCTTTACAAATTACTCTCTATGTGATTGTTTCTTTGGTGGTTTATGTATTCAGGTATATTTTTGAGCACCTGTAAGTTCTCAGGCAAAGACTGAAGAAGGAAGGGGAGCCTGGGTGACTCAGTCTGTTAAGTGTCTGCCTTCAGCTCAGGTCATGATCCCAGGATCCGGGGATCGAGCCCTGCATTGGGCTCCTTGCTCAGCGGGGAGCCAGATTCTCCCCTGCCTGCCATTCTCCCTCCTTGTGCTCTCTGCCCCACCCTCCCGCTGGCTCTCCGTGTCGAATAAATAAATAAAATATTTAAAAAAAAAAAAAAAAGGACTGAAGAAGGCAGGGTCCATCTTTGAACAGGATACTTTTCGGGGGGGCTGGAGAGAAACAGATGGGCAGTCATGTTGAGATGCTAGATGCTATGTTGTCGGTGTGCACCCAGGGCCAGGGAGAAATGGAGAGGGTGACAGGCCCAGCAGGAAGGTGGAACAAGGTCACGCTGAGGAGATGACACTGGAGCTGACTTTTGGAAGCTGAACAGGATTTCTCCAAGTGTGAGTGTGTACGGTATCCAGGTAAAAGGCACAGAGGAGAGGGAAATTCAGCATAATGAGGGAGGATGGAGAGTAGCTCATTATGCCTGGGATACATGAAGAATTACAAGGAATGGTCAAAGTCAAGCCTGGAAGTGAGAGACAGGCTTCCAGTTATGGAATGAATAAGTTATGGGAATAAAAGGCACAGCATAGGGAATAGTCAGTGATAACTATAATAGCGTTATGTGGTGACAGATGGGAGCTGCACTTGTGGTGAGCTTAGCATAATGTAGAGAGAAGTTGAATGCGTGGGTTATACACCTGAAATTAAAGTAACATTATGTTTCAATTATACTCAAAATGAATAAATAAGTAGATAGATAGATGGATAGATAGATAAAGGGCTGGAAGGGAAGCGAGATGGTAGTTTATGGATTTCTGTGTTACCTCTGAGTAAGGCAGGGATTGCAGCAGGCATTACAGAGTGTTGAATGAAAAACTAAGCAAAACCAAGCCACACCCCATGAAAAGGCAAAGGCTAATTATAAATTTTTTAAAGATTTTATTTATTTGAGAGAGAGAGAGAGAGAGAGAGAGAACACACACGTGCACAGGAGCAGGAGCAGGGGAGGGGCAATGGCAGAGGGAGAATCAGACTCCCCGTTGAGCAGGGAGCTCAAGGAGGACCCGATCCCAGGATCCCAAGATCATGACCTGAGCCGAAGGCAGACACTTCACCGACTGAGCCACCCAGGCACTCCGCTAATTATAAATTTTAAGACACAGTTTTAGAGGTAGGATGGACCAAGGAGATCATCTAATCTGACCAAGAAGAAACCTGGAGAATTTAAATTACTCATCCAAAATTAAGACTGCGAGAATGTGGCCAAACCAGGACTATAATTCAGGTCCTCGTGTTCCCAGTCAGTCGAAGCATTATTTTTCCCTATCCTCTTTAAGTAATAATTTTTAAAATTCCACAAAATTTGCTATGAAATGTTATTTTAAAAACTTATGAAGTTTTACATTTTGGTCTACTCAGATGCCCCAGATCATTCTGATGAAATAAAAATTGCAAATGGATAAGTTTTTAATGTGGGAGGTTAGCTTTTATGTGCATATATAGTTGATATATTTGTATCATATTGATCATTTTATTATAAGTTAAAAATATATAAGGACTCCCCCACCATAAATGGATCAAAAGAAACTGGGACATTTTTCCTAAAGTGAGAGAATTGATAAAAAAAAAAAAAAAAAAAAAAGCAAGAAGATTTCCAGAGGTGAATGGAAAATCATCAAATGAAAAATTCAAATGGTAGAAAATCTTGGTAAAATATGCAGGCTCACCAATGATCATGGAAATGCAAAACAAAATAAAACCTCAGTATTAAATTAAGAGCTTTCAAATTTTATAATATTAAGAACTTGATAGTGGCATTCCCAACTAGTAGGATTACAAATATCTATATACCTTTGGGAAAAAATTCTTCAGTCTCATCAAAAGCTATAAAGTTCATTTCCTTGACTTACTGTCAGGTAATCCACCCTAAAGAAATAGTCAGAAAAACATTAATTCTTAATGTATAAAGGTGTTTTGGTGATGTATCAAAAATTACATGCAAAAAATCTCATCCATTTACCAGTTGGGAAATGGTTAGATAAATTAGGGTTTAATCAGTTACAGTCATTAAAAACTATGTATATGAAGAGTTTTTACAAAATAGGGAGATTACCACAATAAGTAAAAGAAGTAAGAGAGTGGGTTTTAAAATTTTGTATACCGTAGGTTTGCCATCAGGTAAAAATGCATCAAGACTGTAAGGAAGTATTAGGTATCAACAGTAGTAGAATTGTGGGGGGTTTTTCTCCTATAAAAAATATTTTCTACATAAATTTTCTGCAACAAAACATGTTTTTCTTTTGAAGTAATAAGACAAAAAAACAAAATGGAACTTAATGTAATGCTTGGCTTAGGTGTTTCTTTTTTTTTTTAAGAGACCGAGAAAGAGAATGCAGACGTGTGTGTATGCACAAGCAGGATGAAGGGCAGAGGGAGAGGGAGAGAGAGAAAGATGGGCTTCCAAGCAAGGCCTAGCCTAGTGTGGAAGGGAGGTGGGGGGAAGTTCAGAGGTGGGAGGGTACAGGGGTGGCTTGATCTCAGGACGGTGAGATCATGACATGAGCCAAAATCATACTTAACTGACTGAGCCACCCAGGTGCCCCTGGCTTAAGTATTTCTAAAATGTGTTTGGTTTTTTTAATATGCAGAGGATATCAAATGTATTAAGCTACATCCTGATGCTATTGCAGACTTCTAACACATTGACTTTGTTACTCAACAGGATGTACCCTTTATATTGTCTGGGCCACTCTCTACCGATGTGCCTTGGATATCATGATCTGGAACTCCGTATTCCTGGGTGTCAACATTTTGCATCTGTCATATCTTTTGTACAAGAAAAGACCGGTAATTACTAAAATTAATGTGGAGGAGATTTTAAAGGAAGAGATTTTTAAGGCCAAAAAGCTTTTAAAGTGCTTTGTTCAGACTTGAAAATGAACATTTAACACTTTAATCCCCTTAGTATCATTTCTTCGATTGTGTTCGTATATGTATGAAAGGGAAATATTTGAATCCCATGAACTTTGTTCTACAAATGAGTCTTTTTTAAAAGATGCATGTATTTATTTTAGAGAGAGAGAGCAGGCAGGAAGGGCAGAGGGAGAGAGTCTCAGGCAGACTCCGCACTCAGCAGAGGGCCCACACAGGGCTTCATCCCACAACCCCAAGGTCACGACCTGAGCCAAATCCAAGGGTTGGGTACTCAACCAACTCTGCTACCCAGACACCCCTACAAAAGAGTTTTTTAAAACTTTTTACATCATTAAGGCAACTTACACATGAGAGAACATTTTTTGTCATATAACTCATTATTTCTTTTGTCTATTGATTTTTAAATGTCACTTAGAAATATCTTTGCCCAGCTGTAAAATTAATTACTCATGGGCAACTTCCTTGAACATACTAATGATTTACAAATAGTTCCTGCTATTTTGTAAATGTAATGACTTTATTTTTTTCATTACATTATGCCCAAAATATTCATTTAAGAAAATCATCATTTTGGGAGGGTGTTGCCAAAACACTAATATTTAACTTTTTTCTCAACATCTTGTTGTGTTTCCTTGGTCATTCCAAGAACCAAAAGATGTAAATAGGATAAGAAAGCAGTGTGGCTTCTAGAAATCACTCCCTACATTGTTTACTAATGGTTCAAAGTACACATAATTATTAAGTAAGGTAAGATACTGCTCCTGTCCTCATGTTCAGTGCCAGACATGTGCACAGAAAACTATTAGAAAACAAGACATTTCACAGGAAATGATCGCTTGAATGATATAGATGATACAAGTAATAGGCATTCTACTAGAGTGTAACCTCAAACATTGCAACCCAGTCCATTTTGCTTACTGTATGAGTTCTCTCTAGGTTCCCCTGTGTCATAAACAACTTGAAAATCTCAGTGACAGGTCCTTTCTCTCACCCATCTTATACGTGGACTCTAGCAATTGTGTGTCAGCTGTGCTTCTGGGCTGTGTCTTCATTCCAGGGTCTCTGCTGAAGCAGAAGCTTCTGTTGAGACATGTGTTATCATGGCAGAGAAAAAAGTACAAGAGAACAACAGAGAAAGACCCAGTGTCTCTTAAAACTTCTGCACAGAAGGAACATACATCACTTTTACTCACACTCCATTGGCTAAAGCAAACAAAAGGGGCAAGAGTGATAGTGTGGGAATGGGCTGGGGTAAGGGAATGGATAATCCTTTCACCAGGGATGGGAGAAGCAATTACTTGGAAATAACAGTATCATCTACCACCTTACTGTTGTTTTCCGAATTCCTGTCAGCCATGATTATCACATAACAAGTGCTCAGAAAAACATTTGATGAGTGATAGCTTTCACAAGAAGAATTAAGAAGGCTTCATGAAGGAATTGGGACTTGAGCTAAGACTTGCAGAATGAGCAGATTATGAACTTCAGTCAATATATTCAGTTCCTATGTGTATTACTAGGCCACATAGACTAGTGTGTATCTCGAAAGTGGGACATATTTGTGAATAAACTATTTTAAACCCTCATTACTAGAACTCTGAGGTAGAGGAGGTAGATGGTAGTGATAATGAGGATTATAATTTCTATCAGAACTTGCTGGAGCCCCAAGCTCTGAACATAGGTTTAGAAGTTGCTGATGTGGTGATGGCAGTAGCATCAGGTAAAACACTCACACAGTATCTGTGTTTTTGTTTCTTCTTGTATTATAAGCCTACTTTCTTGAAAAATATCAATGCTGGCTCTTTGTTAAAATGAACATGGCAAGAGCATCGCAAAGGCTGTAGTGACATCTGAGTGGCTATCATTATGTGGATCTATAAACTTTATAGTGTGGCTGTCGTGGATTTCATTGGGACAGATGATCTTTTGAATCCCAAAGTTCATTCACGTGCTCTCCAGTTTTCCCAGACTAATGCTGGGCCCCAGTATGGCATGTGATCTGGGTCTTCTCTAACAGCAGAGGTGATTCAGCCATTTTGCTTTTCCCTTCCTCCAACAGCCAGACTTAATTCGGCGGGCTCTCGTTCTACAGAGTATTTTACTTTAAGAAGAATTGCTGCACCAAAACCTTTTACTCTCTTTGCTTGGCCTCAGAATAAATAAATCAGAAGCAATGATCACAGCTGTGAATGTTCGTTTTCCTACTGTGATGCATTAAACAATACTTAAAATAGGCAAAATGCTTAATGCATGTATTTTCATAGATCTTTCCCAAGTTGATCCCTATTTTATGTGTTAATGTTTTGCAATAACATTGAAAAGTTCATGAAATTTATTTCTGTGAAACAAAATTGTTATAAAGACAAAATGGTTCCGTGTTATTTTAAGGAAATGCTAAGATTGGAAAGGTCTGTGTTGCGGTTAACATTCAGAACGTCCACAGCTGCTCTACAGTGCATGGGAAGAGATGTGATCAATAGTGCAAATCTTTTCCATATGCTCTTGGAGTTGTTTAAATGCAAAAGTGCCCTTTGAGCATCTAAGCTTATGCCACTGCTTCCTGTCTGTGTATGAGTCCATTGAGCGAAATGCAGAAGGGCCATGGTGCGTGTTGCAGATCTGTTTCTTCTCAAACCCGTGTCGAGATGGCAGAAGCCAGTGCTCCGCTGTGGCTGTGTTATGGCAGCATCTGGTCATTGCTGCATTTCAGGTAAAGATTGAGAAGGAACTCAGTGGCATCTACCGCCGACTGTTCGAACCACTCCGTGTGCCTCCAGATCTGTTCAGAAGATTAACCGGCCAGTTTTGCATGATCCAAACCTTAAAAAAGGGCCAGACGTATGCTGCAGAGGATAAAACCTCAGTCGATGACCGTCTGAGTATCCTTCTGAAGGGGAAGTAAGTGTTCTCTGGAAATTGAAATTCCCAGTGGGCCTGGAGTCTTCTCATGTCCCCCAGAGGAGGGAATGACTGGAAGGGAACGATGCAGATCTTCAGGTCACAGAGTTTGTTGGTGGTGAAATCCCATTTTACGACTGCATTTTAGAATAGTACAGAGCAACAGGTTAGAGTTATATAGAACTGACCACGTGGAATCTTGTGGATGTTAGGATTTCCACCTGTGAACATTTTGAATCTTTATTGACCGTTTTTTTCTTTTTTCCCTTTAAGTTAATGAGTCAACATTGAAGTAGGTTTAGTTAGGCATTAAACTTCCAAGCATGTGCTTGTTTCCCAAGTGATTTCTTTATTTTTTGAATATCACAAAAATATAACTTGTAGGAACATCAGCCTTCTGGGGAGAGAGTCAGTATATACTGTTTCAGCATAATTATTAATATCAACCCTTTCCTTCTCAAAAGTATCTGATTTTGAGTAATAAATTTATGGTTACTCTAGCTATATGGGTAGTGACACCATGGGAAGGCACATGTCTGCTCAGTAGTGGAACCTGTCTTTTTTTTTTTCTTGTTGGTGAAATTTATATTGAAGTAAATATTTGTGCTTAGAATTATGTTTGTCTCTATGGAGTCTTTAAAACTTCAGTACAAAATGTCAACACATAAGATTAAAGACCGGAATGTTATTTGTGAAATAGTATGTGTTATTAATATTAATTTCTGTTATCAGAATGAAGGTTTCCTATCGAGGACATTTTCTGCATAACATTTACCCCTGTGCCTTTATAGATTCTCCTGAATTTAGATCAACTCAGATGCACAAAGGTGAAAAATTCCAGGTATGTTTTGTCATGATTTTCAGAAGATTGGAACTAGTTCTTGTCTCATTTGAAATCCAAAAGATACTGATAGAAAAGTGATTTATTGAAAAAAGAGATTACCATATGGTACATACAGCATGACCCCATTTTCATAAAACTTAAAAGAATAGTACCGCTACGTGCATAAAAAGAGGACTAGAAAGATGGAAACTACTTTGACTGTAGTGTTAACACTGTTATTTCTGGGTTGTGAGTTTGGCTGCTTTTTTATTTTCTTCCTTTTGGTCTATTGGAATTTTTATAATTTTTTTGTAGAAAACCTCTAGTGCTTTGATTATGGGAAGAAAGGAAAATGCCAATTGTAGATATTCAGTTGTTCTAAAACATGTGATTGGTTACTTTTACTGGGAAAAAAACAGAAGCCGGCTTTGCCCTAGAGATCATCTTTAATTAATCCTTATGAAAAAACTAATGACTTCGCTCTTTTATATTTAATGACTACTTTAAGGACAAAAAATGAAGTTCTTCATGGTTAAAAATCACTCCATTGTGTGGCACTTTGTTTTGATTCTTTCTGTAAGTGTCCAGCCCTCCTATTTTGTTCCCCACTTAACATAGGAGAGTAACCAAGAAAATGGGGGAGAGTTCCCTTTGGTCTCAGCCTCCAGGTAAACAGCAATAAGGAAATATCCTGAGAAGATCCTGAGCGTGAGTGTAAGTGTGTGTAAGTAGGAAACGGAACAGAAGGGATGTTATCACCGCAGGGAGGAAATGTCAGTGTTTCTTGATGATACATCTTATTTCTCAGTCTCACTTTGGGCGACATACACTTTGGGAGGCCACATGGAGATAAAAGGGAAAACTGAGAGACATACAGTTGAGTTTAATCGAGTTTATATGCAATGGTCGAGGCCCTGCCCCACTCCTATGCCACCTGAATAACAGGTCTGAATAATTGCACAACCTGCGAAAGTTACATGTATTTACTACAAGGTCTCATGTAAGTTCATTGACAGGGGGTATCACTGTTCCCACGCTGGCTGAGCTTGAGATACAGAAGTGGAAATTTCATGCTATATCATGGCTTCTCGAATTTATACTCTCACCTTGTGTTTGAGAGGGTCATCCATGCACTGAGACCTATGTTCTTACTGTGTCTTTCATCACCACCATCTACAAACTAGTACAAGACCCCTCTTCCTCTCTCCTTCTTTGGCCTGCCCTCCTTACAATTTCTTCTTCAAAAGCCCATTTATCTTTTGCATCCATTTCTCTATGTAGAATAGCAAGGGACTTTACACAATAACTCAGTCTCTGTATAACCCCAAAGAGACTGGAATTTGGAGAAGGGAGTGAAAACAGACCCCCCTTTGTTTCTAGAAGCAGTGCTACCTGAGAGGTCAGGGATATGAACACGTGCTATCTTCTCCACTGGACATCAAATTATAGTTTAATTAAGTTAACAAAAAGGAAAGCCTACCACGAGCTGGTTTCTTCTTGGGGACTAGGGATTGGGATTTGAGAGTTGAGAAATGTTCCTGATAATTGCTGTGGAGATCCCAAAATCATGACTAAGATCGAGGTACTGTAGCTAGGGAAGGATATTTATTCAGCCTTTCCAACACCAGCCATCTTTTGTTTGCACGGAGGTGGTGTGGCATCTTCTGATTGGCCAGTGGATAAACACCGCTTTAGCATCGCGGAACCTCTGTCCTGCACAGTTGGAACAGGCCCCCTCCAAGCAAACCCTTGGGAGAGCTTGTGTTTTGATTGTTTACAAAATGTTCCCATTGGCAGATACTCAGGAGTAAAAACAGCTGTTGCACATCTGGGTACAAGTATGCAGTGCCTCTTTCTGAAGCAAGATCCCCAGGGAAACATGGAGCCTGCTCTGACGTCACCACCTGTGCCCATAGCAGGGGACATTTGACAGTGTCTGTGCCCACTCTCCTCCACCTACATGCTTGTACCTGCTACTTCACTTTTCTTTAATTCTGAACAATTCAAAGTGTTCTGACAAGGAGCTCCTACCTTTGAATTTTTATTTCTTTAAATTCCTCTTTGGTAGGGGTGCTAATGAATTAAGGAGTAGGGTGGAAAGAGAAAAGAAAGGGAAGTGGGCTCAGTGACTGCCTCTCAAGCTTGCACAGCAGATGTTGTCTGGGTGCACATGTGACCATTATGAGAGGCACAGGGATAGAGCTGACAAACAGATTCAGAGCTGGAACTCACAGGTGCCGTTTTGGTCCTTACCCACCAAAGTTGCTGCTTAGAACTCTTGAGAGACTCTTGGGTATCTTTATTACAGAAGGCAGAAGTAGTCTTTTGTGTTTGGTTTCTTCTTCGTGCAGTTGTTTTATGTCAAGTGAGCTTTGCCCTTTTCACATTTATCTTTTATATTCTGTCTCCCACTGTTGCTCTCCCCTGGTCAGTTGCATATCCTGTGCTAAGAAGCCTGAAAACCAAAGCTTTATTGGTTTTAAGGGAAGAAGAATGTCTTGGAGATCCCAGCCCTCCCGAAATCAATGAACACTAAATTTTCACCTGTATTTATAAGACTTTATTTATTTATTTGACAGAGAGAGAGATCACAAGTTGGCAGAGAGGCAGGCAGAGAGAGAGAGAGGAAGGGAAGCAGGCTCCCTGCTGAGCAGAGAGCCCAATGCTGGGCTCAATCCCAGGACCCTGAGACCATGACCTGAGCCGAAAGCAGAGGCTTTAACCCACTGAGCCACTCAGGCACCCAAATTTTCACCTGTATTTAAACCGGACCGTATCTTAGTGTTAAGTAAATCTTTTGGCTAAGCTGTGAAGCCCGTTGATCTACCAGCTTTGACCCTGCTGTATTCTAGTGCTTAGGAGAACTCTAAGCATTGGTTGAACAGATGAGTCCTAGGACATTTTCATGTTCCTGTTGTGCGAAATGTTATAAAATACGTGAAGAAAAATAACAAATTCTCCCCTGAGGACTGTGAAGCAGTCATACTCTTGAACAGCTGTTTCCAATCCTGACACATGTGGCAATTCCCTGAGACACCCTTGTTCCTGTGTAATGTCTTCCCATTCTGTGAGGGTGTAAAATCTAAAGGGAGGGACAGGCCTAATGCCTTGACGTAATCAAGGCAAACCTGATGCAAACACTTCGTCCCCTGCTCTCCCTGAAAGAAATCCTTTGGTATGTCCCATTGCCATGCTTGCTTTTATGTCTTCAATAAAATCCTTCCCCAGAACTGAAGCATGGCACTCTTGAGGTATCCTAATGACTTGACAAGCGAATTTATTTTACGGAAGCTTTAAAAATTCTTATATTGCTTTATAGAAATTCCTCATTAAAATATGTTTTACTTGGCTGTTGTGACAGGAAGTCATTAAACACAAATGTCTACTTGGCAGAAATGAAGCATTAGCCATTGTGTAAAATGACCTCCGTCAATATGCTAAAAGCCACGTACTTCCAATCAAATGCCCGCACTTAAGGACTTGCAAGATACTCACACAAACTGTAGGTATAGCTTATTATTTGAATCCTGTTGTTAAATCTAAATTTAGTAATAATTTGCACAGGTTTAAAGTATTTTTCAACCATCAATAAAATATGTATTTGCTAAGCAAACAATAGTATCAGAATTATCTTTGCCTCTGAGGAAACTCGAGTTTGTTGGAATGGTTGAAAAGAAGTCAAATGCATTGTATGTCACCTAGGTACGATTCCTTTTTCTTTTCCTGGATGACTTCCAGCTCCTCTAACTTCTTACGGCATCACACCTTACTTGTCCACGGATGACCTCTTTGCCAAACGGAGGAACCTCCAACTCCTAACCCTTTCTTCAGTGCTTGGTTACAGGGCTGTGCTGTAGTGAGTCCCAGTGCTCACCTTTCTTGAATTACTCCTGTGGAATATTATTCAGTGGCCTCATGTTTATTTACACATCTCTTAGTGTTTCTGGGAACTCCTCAGTACTGGCTCGAGCTTATACTTCTCTTCTTAAGAAAATTTTTTACGGGGGTGAGGGAGTCAGATGTCTTTACTTACTACCAGCTTCCTCCACTAGAATGTAGGCTTCATGACATTGTGTTCAGCTGTTCTTTGTATGAGGAACTCTTGATGGACTCTGAGCTGACCTGGTGGTCACTTAGTCAAATTACTTTCAGTGTGATCCTGTTGCTGAATATTGGACACATTAGGTAGGGTTTGGCCTAGTGGGAAAAGATGTCTGGGTGGGAAGTCAGAAGTACTCAACTCTACCACTAGTCAACATGTGTTCATGAGTATGTTTTTTGGTTCTTGTCATTTGGCATCTGAAAAATGAGGAAGACTATTACTTGCCTATCTGAAAAGCAATTTTGAGGCACTTACTTACAGATGTTAAAAAACCTAAATGTTTAAAAGTGCAATAAATGTATAAACTGAGTGGCAGTGTGTGTAACTGTCATTCCCTGGAGTGTCTCTACCCTTGCCCCTGTTCTGTATTTGTCAAAACATTTATTGTGTTTTGACATAATTGTCAATTATGACACCACCAAGGGTGTCATATTATCAGGTTCCTTCACTAGAGTGTAAGCTTCCCAGGGCAAGGCTCTTGTCCTCCTTGTTCACATTGTAATGTCAGTGCCTTTAACAGCGTCTAGTATAAAGTAAGTACATGACGTGTGTTGAAAGAATGAGTAGAATTTCGTTTTTTATGGAGTCATAGAGCTGATGATGCGTTTCTTGAATCCAAATGTGTCTGGTTTTGGAGATTCCTGCCCTTAATATAATAAATAAGTACAAACTTTTTCCCCCAGGAATATTGACCCACTTTTTAAAGTAGCCAAACCCTGTAATTTGCTAAAGGTCAATTTTCGGCTATTGATATTAGTTGCGAAGCTGGGTTTTCCATTTTCTCTTTTAGGAGACATGCATACCCCCTTGTCCTCAGAACTATGTTTAATTTTGTGACAAACCAAGGGGAAATGGTGCCTTTGGAAACATGTGCTCTGAGGCTCAGATAACAATTTCACGTTAATTAAAAAACCCTTCATGAATTTACCTGGACTGGCATTGGGTTTAACTCTGAGGATATAAACATGGACTTTGCCTTCAACAGTACTTGTGTTCATTTGTTACTTCCTTCATGTAACAAATGTACACTGAGCACCACTCTGTGTTGGGAGCTGGATGTTCAGACATGAAGTTGCACAGCCTCTGCCCTCAGAGTGCCTGGTGGAGACAGATGTGTCCCCAGATGAGTGTGGGTTCTGTGATTTCAGTGCCACATGGAGTTCAGCGGAAGAGTACTCCTTCATGACAGGGGACCTGTGTGCGAGGAAGGACTTCCTGACACGGAGCTGTGAGGGCATAACCCCTCACTCTGGAGAAAGAAGTTATTTGAAAAATCTCGAGCTCTGTGCGGTACAATTACAGGATTTTCCACTTTGTTGTGGAACAATGTTCTAGAAAAAGATATAGTCTCCCAATCCTGAGCTAACTGGGGGATCTCTGTGTGAGTCTCCAGTAACCTGGGGCTAGTCCTGAAAGGTCACACTCAAGAAATACCTGTGACAAAAGAACCCAGAGGAGGACCCTCACTAGCCATATTCCTCAGTTAACAGCCTGGATTTTAAAACCAGTTCACAGGAGTCAGTCTTCTGCTTCTCCAGGATGTGTTTGCAAGGTTGGCAAGGCAGAAGGTCTTTCATCTATAACTTGCCTCAGGGATCTTACCTCAGTACTGTTGCCTGAAGTCATATTCTTAAACCTCTGTTGTAATCATCAGGATGTAAGGAAATATTTAACCATAAATTCTATGTCTAATTGGAACATTGGTCTAGTACAGACTATTAGTTTTTTATGGAGTCATAGAGCTGATGATGTGTTTCTTGAATCCAAATGTGTCTGGTTTTGGAGATTCCTGCCCTTAATATAATAAATAAGTACAAACTTTACTCCAGACCTCACACCATACCTCACACCAGACCTCACAAAACAGAACAACAACAAAACTTGGAGAATTTGCTTTTGGTTTGTAGATTTCTTGATTTTAACCTGATTTTAAATATGATTTTATAATAGCTATAGAAGTTTGTGTGTCTAGATCTTGCTTTAACTTAACTAATATGAAAAATCATTGCTGTAATAATATCCACTAAATTATTCTACTCTTCTTTTCACCAAAATTATTGTACCATCATTCATAAACATACTTTTTCCTTCCTATGTCTGTTTCTCGGACAGGTCACCATCATTGCAGATGATAACTGCAGATTTTTATGCTGGTCAAGAGAAAGATTAACTTATTTTCTGGAATCAGAACCATTTCTATATGAAATATTTAGGTATCTTATAGGAAAAGACATTACAAATAAGCTCTACTCATTGAACGATCCCACCTTAAATGATAAAGTAAGTGGGGTTTTTTTTAATGAGTGTGTTTATTAAACAATGATGTATAGTGAAGCGTACCTTACTTTATGCAATACATATTTTTCTGAATTTTCATTAATTCATCATGTTTTAAGTAAAGCGGGGATGTCATTTCTCAAGAGGATGTCATTTCTCAAGAGGATGGACAAATTTTGTAATTATTATATTTGTCATCATCTGGTGAGGTGTCTCTAAATGTCAGGGACCTCCATTTGTGGTGATGTGGTGCTGGTCTCTCATGAAGAGTCTTTTAATCAATCTAAGGAAGACAGTACATGAGTTGGAGGGAGGGATGGGGGGTACAGGGGGCCAGGAGGGCAGGGTAGCTGGGGGGCTGCTGACTGGTCACTGCAGTGAGCAGGAAGTTGGCATTTTAACACTGGTGTCCTCCAGTTTAGGACATCCTCATGGTCAAGCCCCCTCCCAGAAAACCCATAAGTGACGAGACAGGGAGGGGAAGGATCCTGTGGCAGTGCAGTTAGGAATTTCAGAGCTGTAGGCATCTTCTCCAGGTTGCAATGTGATCCTCATTTCCCCACGTCTGCTTAGAAGGAAATTATAATGACGACAGAAGAGAAATTGCAAAACATGGTTTCTGTGATAAGTACCGTTCTCCCAGAACTGTGCACATGGGCGTGTGCTCTCTTTAAGTTCTCTTGCCTAGGACCTTTATCAAATCAAGGTGGTGCCTATTACTTTTAGATTAATAAATAAGCCACTGAGTATATTACATTTTTGTAACGTATGTGTAGTTACAGCTTATAATAAAAGTTATAGCTAACATTTATTGGCCACTTACTATGTACCTGGTAGTTCTTTATTTCAAGGAAAAAATAAATGCTGTTTACAGGGTATACATGACCTAAGTCTCAGAGATCTCAGAAATCTTAAACCTTTGCTTTGTAGAAGGCCAAAAAGCTGGAACACCAGCTCAGCCTGTGCACACAGATCTCCATGCTGGAAATGAGGAACAGCATCGCCAGCTCCAGTGACAGTGACGATGGCTTACACCAGTTTCTTCGGGGCACTGCCAGCATGTCCTCTCTCCGTAAGTTATCCCGAACAGAGAATCCTCCAGGATTCCACTGGATGTCGTTGGAAATAGACAAATGACAACTGTGATTGGAAAAATAGCTTTGCAAGTAACAGTTGGGTGACCTGAAGGTATCAACAAAAATAACAATTTTTTTTCTTGCTTTACCTTTTCCATGTTGCACCTCAGCTAAAATCTAACATGAGAGCTCTTATTGCTTAGTCCAAATTTCAGAACTTGGTGGTTCGTTTCGCCGTGGACTCTCCTTCAATACTGGTTCCCTGGGATAACGTGAGAGAGTCCGTAGTGTTTGCTGGATACTCGGGTTTGTTGTTTTCATGATTTTTGTTCAAGTGAAAACCTAGGCCCCGCAATGTGTATAAATAAATAAATAAGTAACACAAAATAACCCCTTTTATTGGTGAAGATTTTGTTGGCAAAATCAAATAGATTGATAGCACACTGTGGTAGTAAAGCAGCCAAGAAGCAGGAATTCTTGACTGTCGCTGTCTGGAGAGGATAGAGGTGCAACCTCTATGGAAATAGGACATGGCTATTAAAATTTAATGTGCACAGGTTTTGACACAAAATTTCACTGCTAGAGTGTTACCCTATGAATATGCTCAATGGCAAAAAATACCACATTAAGTGCTATTCATTCCCGCATTCTTCTACAATTGCAAAATTCTGGAGCAAACCAAAATATCCATCAGAAATAAAACTGATAGGGCACCTGGGTGGCTCAGTGGGTTAAGCCTCTGCCTTCAGCTCAGGTCATGATCTCAGGGTCCCGGGATCGAGCCCCACATCAGGCTCTCTGCTCGGCAGGAAGCCTGCTTCCCCCTCTCTCTCTGTCTGCCTCTCTGCCTACTTCTGATCCCTCTCTCCCTCTGTCAAATAAATAAATAAAATCTTAAAAAAAAAAGAAATAAAACTGATAAATTTTTGATAAAAAAGAAAATGATAGGAAACAGAGTCTGAGTGTTTTACTGCTGACTGGTTATCTCAGTGTGAGCCCCAAGAGTTAACAGGGGGGAAAAAAAAAAGAGTTAACAGGGGATTGGGTGCTGGGATGTTCCTGAAGATGAAGGAGACCACCCAACACCCAACAGCCCCATGAGTTACCTCGTTCACACACAGCCACTGAGAGGCAGGTTTTCCAAGATTGTGCTATCGGTTAGATCATTTTAAAACATCTTAAGTAAGGAACATTTTAAGACACAGATGTTGAAGATTAGTAAGTAATATGAGAGAAACTAAATTATTTTAAGAATTATTCCAAGAATGGAAGTCTAAGAATTCATTTGAAATAGCAAAAAGAGAATTCTCCCATTGTATAAAACAAGAAACTATTAATGTTTCTAATTGTGTGTTAGTCCAAAGTAACTTTTAAGGAAATCCAGATACATATTCAACAATACTAAATGCTTATGTAAATGATCTTGTATCTTTGGATGCTGTAGATAAATTGGATTAAGGATGTTAAGAATCACATAGTGTAGAGGGGTTGGAATTGGCAAAGCCATGGAATCAGCATAAACTTCCAAAGAAAAGTCTAGGCAGAGAAATGTGTTGTGGACCCAAAGGAGATTCACATGATTTCACATTTCACAAATGAGAAATGGGAGATGGTTGTATCTTATTCTAACGTAACTTTTGAAAGTACTGACTGAGGCTGACCAAACTCTATAATCTGATAGCATTATCAAATGCATTATCTGTTCTGTTGAAACAGTTTGGTGGTTAATAATCATTTTCAGGTGGATAATTGCATGTATCTTAATTGCATGTATAGTGATTACTATACTAAGAAAGGTCAGCGGAAAGGGAATTTTTTTTTTTAAGATTATTGTTTATTTATTTGACAGAGAAAGAGAGAGATTGCACACAAGCAGGGTAAACAGCAGAGGGAGAGAGAGAAGCAGGCCCTCTGCTCAGCAGGAACCCCAATGCATGGGTTGATCCCAGAACCCTGGGATCACGACCCGAGCAGAAGGCTGACACTTAACCAACTGAGCCATCCAGGAGCCCCAAGTTGTTTTTTTTTTTTTTAATTGTATTTTATTGTATAAGCTAAATCTTTTGGGAGTAAGATAACATTTTAGAAAAAAAGTTTATCTAGAGTATGTTTTTTAAACAGAATAAAAACACATTTTCATGATTCACATTTGTACTGTTTGTGGCACCAGAAACCTATATTATCAGGTGGATTGATCACCCATGTGGTGTTCAAATCTTGCACTAATGGTTATTAGTTGTGGAACTAGTACATGTGGGTTTGAGTGTGGTGTGTGTGAATTACGCAACAAAGCCCTGCTCATCCCTAATTCCCTTTCACTAATCCCTGTTCTGAGTTTCTTGCCTTCACTTCCTGCAGTTCAGTGGAAGACATTGGTCCTTGAGCACCGCACTGACACTAATTATGAATTCTTTCATTCATCCTCGCCTGTGAGTCATCAAAAACCAGTTAGTTCTGGTTTCTCTTTCTTAGGTTTCAGCTCAGAACTCCTGAAGTCTGGGTTTTTTGTTTGTGTTTTGTTTGCCAGACCCATCAATATGCTATCAACTTTCCCATATTACAGATAACATTTCTTTTTTTTTTTAAGATTTTATTTATTTATTTGACAGAGTTCACAAGTAGGCAGAGAGGCAGGCAGAGAGAGAGGAGGAAGCAGGCTCCCTGCTGAGCAGAGAGCCCAATGTGGGGCTCGATTCCAGGACCTGAGATCATGACCTGAGCCAAAGGCAGAGGCTTAACCCACTGAGCCACCCAGGCGCCCCACAGATGACATTTCTTATAAAACAGAGAATACAGAACCAATCTCGTATGACTTCGGCTGAAATAACAAAATTTACCATTTTTGGAGCTCGTGGGAGGTCTTAGTAAATGTGAGTTTCCTCAAACGAGTGAGCTCTTATTCTGAGACTCTGACGGGCACAGGGGGCAACTACGGCCGCTCCTTTCAGCGGCAGAGGCAGCTTCACGACTGCTAAGGAGAGACGGGAACAAACATTTGTGGACAGTGGTAGCTATTGTTTTTTAGGATCTCTGGACATAATCACATGCAGTCTTTCCTCTAACCCCGCACGGAAAGGTACACTGGGTTTTTGCTAGATGACACAGCACTAACAGCCTCCCAGATCTCTGGCTGGGAGGAAGGGGCTGCTTTCTGGTGCGTGTGCACCCGGGTGCTACTCCAGGCCCATGTCCTCCTCAGACTGGGATGCAAAGAGCAGCCGCTGTTTGGATGACTGCCCTCCACGCAGGGGAAGTCAGTGACGGCAGAATCACGTGATGGCTCTGAAAGCTCCCACTTAGAAGTAGCACATGCGGGGCGCCTGGGTGGCTCAGTCGGTTAAGTGTCTTCCTTGGGCTCAAGTCATGATCTCCGGGTTCTGGGATCGAGCCCCGCCTCGGGCTCCCTGCTCAGTGGAGGGTATGCTTCTCCCTCTCCCTCTGCCCTTTCCCCGCCCCCACACTCGTGCTCTCTCACTCTGTCAAATAAATACATAAATAAAACCTTTTAAAAAAGAAGAAGTAGCGCGTGCGATCCAGCAGGGGCTGAGCAGAAAGGCCCCTGAGGCGGGAGGGAAAACAAGTGTTTTGACAGTAACTTGGGTCTAAGTATTACTTCATTTTACACCTGAGGAAATTAGGAATCTGGATGCTTACTCACTTGTTCCATTCGCACAGGGAGAGGCTCTGGGATACAGAGCTAGGTGTCCTGTCCAATCCATACTGTTTGACTGCATTGCCTCTCTGTTTTAAAAGGAAAAGACCAAAATATGTGTGTAACACTTGACTGGCACTTTATAGTTTACCCGTCACGTCCGCTCCCATTCCTTCATCTACACCTGACGACTCTGCAGCAAGACACAGTCACTATTAGTATATCTACGCCTTTCCTGAAGGGGCCACCTGTCCTCAGTGAGAAGGCTGTGCTTACCCCCAAATCACTTCTTTCTCCGACAATCTACCTCACTGGAGAAACCTGCCCCCCACCAATTCCTCCATTATGACCAAGCAGTGCTGCAGATCGGTTTTCACAGACCCGTTGATTTCCATTTTGATGAAAATTTTTGCTTTCTTCATTGTATGCGGGGTTCACCACAGGAACATTTAAATTATCCAGTAATGTCCTCCGGTCGTTTATTGTTGGGTTAGCTTTCATTTCGCCTCATATGTCCTTATATAATTATAAGCAGTGCTGCTCTATAAAAATTACATTTATTTTGTATATTTATTGTATATTATATATTGTAATATTATATGTATATTTGATCAGCATGTACCCATTCCATTTGGTTGAAAATCTCTGAATCTCTGGGCTTCCCCTCCATCTCTCTCTCTCTCTCTCTCTCTCTCTGTGTTTTTGCATTTTTGTTTTGTCTTGTTTGTCCAACAGAATCTTGATTCTTAAATATAATTGTGAATATGAATCACTTGGAGACTTTATTATAGATTCTGATGCAAAAGACTAGAACAGGGCCTGGCATCCCCCTGTTTAACCAGTGCCCCAGGGGTGCTGACGTGGCTGTCCCCTGAACCACTCTCTGAGCAGCGAGGGGTAGGGGTCCCTCCCTATAGTCTGGAATTTTGCTGAGTGCAGCCCCATGATGGTTTCTTGTGTTTCCCATTCACTGGTAGGTAGATCTCTGGGCCTGTGTAGATTCTGGTGAAAGCATGGAAAAAAATGGATGCTGATCCCACTTTTTTACATTGCCCTCTATTTTTACGTATATCACATAACCCTAAATCCAGAGCAAGATCTCTACTCTTTGCCATGCAGACTCTGTATTCCACATCAAATTATCATTTAAAGACAAGAAAGTACTGAGATAGTCTGAGAAAAATTGCTTCCTTCCCATTTATTCAGTGGCCTGTAATCCACTCAGCTCCCTTTCAGTTTCCCGTGGTTTCATTTACTCGTTTCATGTTTGGGAAGCATGATGGTGAGGCAGAAGGACCAGAAAGGACCAGCAGGGCAGGGCATGTGGGAAGGAGTGTGTGTCCT